AGGCATGGACCACTCCAACATCCTGCTGAAGAGATTCATTATTTTTCATGTAAATGTTACATTCTGAAAAAAGCATCTGGAAAAGCATTTAGGCTAATTGGAATTAAATTTTGCTTTATTCTTGCTTTATCTTTAAAATACTTTTAGTAAATTACATTAATATTTAACTGGATTTTACTTGGACCTAATTTTCAAATATTAAGTGAGATCCTTGGCAATTATTTTTATTGTCTGATATTGCCTTCATTCTGTCTGCATGTTGTCATGTTTTTATTTCACAATTAGATACTGTAATTTACACTAAATTACTTACTTAGACTAAACAATTAGGTGCACCCGCTCAATGGCTCTTTATGTAGGTAGCAAATCAAGCAACTCTTAAACTTAAACCAAGCACCAGGATGGGGAAGAAGGGTGATTTAAGTGACACTGAACAGAGAATGTTGCAAGACGGCTGAGCTGAGTGTTTCAGAAACAGGCTGATCTCCTGGGATTTTCCAACACAACCATCTCTAAGGGTCACAGAGAATTGTCTGAAAGAGAAAATTCCCAGTGAGCTTTAGTTTTCTGAGTGAAAATGCCTTGTCAGTGACACCAAAGAATATCTGCGTATTGTTTGTGACAATGTCCATCACTTTATGACCACAGTGCATTCATTTTCTAATGACTGCTTCCAACAGGATAATGCATCATGTCACAATGCTCATATCATCTTAGACTGGTTTCCTGAACATGACAATTTGTTTACACTGCTCAAATGGCCTCCACTGTCACCAGATCTCCAAAAGAGTAGCTTTAGGATGTGGCGGAAATTATGTGGGAAATTTGTAGCATGGATGTCCAGTTAGCAAATTTGTAGCAACTGCCCAATGCTCTAATTTCAAAATGAACTCAAATATTCTGAGGAATCTTTACAACACCTTGCTGAATCTGTGCCACTATGATTTAAGGCAAAAAGGGGGTCCAGTCAAGTACTGGTAAGGTGTAAGTAATAAAGTGGCCAGTTTGCTTCGTCGTCTTAGAGCCTTTTAAAAAGAGATGAGTTAGAGACTGAGACTTTGCTGGAGTTGTGAGCCTATAAAGCCACACATCTATCCACCTTGTTATGTCAGTGTGTTGGTGTATGGTAACTGGAAGCATATTCAGAGATTAATTGTTGGGTGTCTGATTGATGAGGACAGAAATTATTGCAAGCTTGATCGGGAGTTGGTGTTTGCATAGTTCACTTATATGTTTGTGGGTGTGTTTGATGACATCATCCGGGAGCATATGATGGTGCTGGCGGAAGACAAGGATTGAATACAATCAATACTACAGACAGGACAAGATGCCTCAGGAAGAATTATGATGTCCGGGGTTGGAAATTTGCAAGAGCTACACTCGGTATCAATGAAGGTGTGCTGCTACAGACGGTGATGGCACTTTCCCAGCGGGCAGAGCAGCTTGACTTGACAAAAAGAATCAAACTTGTTTTCAGACTCAGACTTTTATTAAATTATTTCTCATTTATGAGGTCGCAAATATGTCAGAATAATAGGACCTAAACAGCTCACTTTTTCACCTTTTCCATCAATTTGCCCTTCTTATCCTCTCTCACACACCCATACTCATACCCAAAGAGTTTCTTCAGAGTGTACTTTCAAGCACATGTTGTTCATAAAATAAAATAAGTTGCTCTTTATTATCCAAGAAAGACAAAGAGTTGACCCAAAAATGTGACTCATTTACAAACTGCTGTATAACTACAGTTCTACTCATCATATTGTGTTGGCAGTAAGTGTTCACCTATGCTCTGCTTTTAGCATTTATGCAGAGATAAATGCTAACATAGCGGCCACTTCTTGAGCCTGGCTCTATTGAAGGTTTTGTCCTGTTAAAGAGCACTTCCCACTGTCGCCAAATCATTTGCTCATAGGGGGTCACATGATTGTTGGGGTTTTCTCTGTTTTCTTTGTGTTATTGTAAAATATAAATGACCTTGAGATAACTGTTGTTGTTGTTTTGGCGCAGTATAAATAAAACTGAATTGAATTGAATAGATAAATGCTAAAAGCAGGACTGCTTTCATATTTCTCATTCAAGTAGCACTTGCATAAGGTATCTTTTGTGTAACTACAATCTAACCATCAGGTACTGTGAAATAAACTCGCATTAACTGAATTTGCTGATGGTTTTTGATGAATAATTAAGCAGGGATTTTCTGCTGTAGCTCAATACAAACAGGAGGTAAATATGATTAAAGTAAAGCATGAATTAGTAAAGACTGTGCTGGCCGACCCAAAGAATGAACTTTGATTTGTTGCCATATTTGAAATATTTATTCAACTTCACATTATCCATGCACTTTGGCTGTCTTTATTCCTCGTTGAGGTCCTCTTTTCCCTGGGGTTTTCTTCTGGAGATCAAAAATAGTCTCTAATTGCACCAGTCTTGGAAAACAGAAAACACTGGGCTGCAAAGCTATTGCAGAAACATCCATATTTTTGATTTTCTTCCTACTATGTTGGGTTATCATTTTATAATTTCTCGCAAAGAAAAATGCAGCCATCTTCTGCATAATTAGACAGCTAGAAATATTATCCTTAAATATATTAAACACATTCAGAAAACTAGGGATTGAAATATTTATTTTGGATGCAATGTGAGCACAGTGAGCTCATGAGGCAAATTAAACAGGAGGCTCCTGCTGCTTACATCCCAGAGAATCTAATTTGATTGTCTTGCATCCTTATCAATTCAGGGGGGAGGAAGTATTATATGCCCCAGTGTGCATGATGCATTGTGCTCAAACCATAATGAATGACCCAACATTAAATTAAAAACACTCTATTCATCACCAGCTATGATTTAAACTTGTTAGTGTGACCTTGATGTTTCTCTGACTCTGTGCAATCCTGCCTTGGCAGTCCTTGTTTATCCAAGATGCACACTTTTCTCAGTGCTCTTTAATTGTCTCTAAGTTAGACCCCTTTGAGATACATGGCCAGCAGCTTTAAAGAGCACTTATTGAGTTGTAAGTGGGGAGAAATTAGAATAAAATGATGGAAGCTGAGCAGAGAGATGCGTGAAAGTTGTAAGAACTTTCGCCAGAAGCAGCTTATAAAGGATGTCAGACGCATAAATCGCAGTGCTCTGTGGCCTGTAGAGAGGGAAATAAATCATTCTCTCTGCAGACCGTGCAAGTGGTCTTCTGTGTGCATACACTGAAATTAGCTAATGTAAGTGCTTATTTATCTAACCAACCGTCAGTCCCACAGCACGTTGAAAAAACATCCAGCCATATTTGACGCAGTCAACATTCCTCTGTATTTTTGTGATTTACATATAACTCTTGTTATACTTCACGACTTCTACTTTTGCATTAATCTTTTGGCCTAGTAATGTTATGGGCCTCTTGGCATTTAATTTCTCTGTTGCTTGGTGAGTGTGTTAAAAATGTAATTTATGCATCCTGCTGCTCAAGCATAGCAGCAGACTCCAGGAGAATTGTTATTTTAATTAAAGGATGAATTCAGACGGCAATCACTGCAGTTTCATCGTTCAAACCATATTGATGTGCAGCAGTAGAAATATTTGTTTTCAATACTTTATAGTACTAAATAGTTTTTTATGTTTATTTGTAATACTAATACAAGCAGATACCTGTCAAAATGTTTCAAAAGATAATCTATTCTTATTAGGGCTGTTATAGCAGACCCTTTAGAAATTCTGATTTATATCGAATAAACCCTCATTACCACAAAGCTTCCATTACAGTGTTTTTTTTTTTACTCCCTTTGACAAATTGTTCGTGGGAACATTCGACAGTCAGGTCGATAGTTTGCCATTCCTAATGGATGCTGTATTTTAAGACTCTGAGACATGGCTGAACCCACATATGTGTACCACAGGAATCTCAAAACACCAGAGTCCCAAAGAACAAGCCATGGGAATCACTCTGTTGTATGAGAGGTGGCTGGGGGTGGAAATGTTTGCTAAGTTAAAACAATTATGGATGGCTTATTTACTTTATGTCAGGTTCACAGGCTGATAGTGGCTTGGAATTAGAACTATAAAGAAAGGTTTTAGTGTTCTGAAAAGTGTGGTTAAATAGCGACAAGACAATGAATGGTGATAACACACCAAGTAGGATAACAACGCATTGATAAGCATGTGTGGATATTAACTTCACAGTGTTTGCAGGAGCCAATCATATTTCTATTGCTCCGTGACTTCTGTTTGACTCAGGGGAAGGATTTAATGATATCCTGATATGAAGGACTATAATTCACAATGAACTGAATTAGATATTGCTTTGCCACCCGTACCTCCAAGGCATCATTTTCTCTTCATATAATTGTCTTATTCATGCATTTGTTGTTTGAGAATAGTTGGTGCTGTGGGGATAGCGTCCTTTGGGTGCAACTTGTTATTATGACTTGCTGCAATTGATTGTACTATACAAAGTATGCATTTTTTTTTTTTATTGGCAATATTGTAGCATTTACAGTTATCTACATTTCTTAAATGTGTTTATGTTTTTAATTCAAGTGGCATAGACAGAGAAGCTTATGTGCATCAATGTGGCATTCCTTCAGCCTGCTGTGAGCGCATCACTAAGGTTCAAACATAATACTTATATGCTTATTTAGACTCCTTTGACATTCTTGTGGATTTACAGTAATGTATAATTATCACTAGTAATCATTTTCTTCAGCTACTCCATGAACAGTCACGTTGATGAAGCCGTGGCATGTTTATTGTGGTAACGTCTAAGCCAAATGTCTGCCTTTGTATTACCAACATGGACAATTTTGCACATGTTGAGCAGACTCTGTTGCAATATGCTTCTGCTGTCTTCTACAAGCTATTAACTTTGAAGCTAAAAACAAACACGGGATATCAGTCTAAATACTGTATACCAGCATACACATGTAGAAAATGTGCATCATCAACATTGATACAACTTCACAATATCAAAGCTTTAACTCACAGATTGTCCAAATATAATACGAGCTATGTAGCAAATTCACATCATGGATTTAATTATGATTTAATATCACAAAAACTAACACTTAGTATCAATAAAACATTAATATATAACAGAAAAAAATGCCCTTTTCTTTGTCAAATATTCAATATTGTCTAATATTTCCAAAGGTTACAATTACAGATAAATGTATGACCAAACACCCTTTAGTGTTCAAAATGAATGCATAAAAGTATTTATTACACTCTTCTGTCCATTTTACAAAGGATCTTTTTAAAGGATTTCCTGAAGTCATTATTGAATACAGTGTATATGACGGGGTTTAGTGAGCTATTGCAGTAACCTAACCAGAAGAACATTTTGAACAGGGTCTCTGGCACACAGCACTTGTCACACACAGCGGTGAGCGTGTACGTGAAAAAAAAGGGGAACCAGCAGAGAACAAACACTCCCATGACTACAGCCAGAACAAATGTAAAGCGCTTCTCTCTGTACTGCCTTCCTTTCCACCTTCTCCCTCTCTCGCGGGACTCCTGCTGTGGTTTTGAAGCGCTTTCTCCGGGATTCACCTGAGTCACTTTTGCTGTTTTCATAGCCTTCTTCTTCGTAAGTGAACATAGGATTGTTTCATTCCCATCGGAAGAGGAGGGTTCTTCCTCCACATCAAGCTCATTAGCCTCTTTACCGTCTTCTCCTCTCACCTCCCTCTGTTCTCTGTCTTTTCTCTCCAGCGTGTCCAAACCGAACTTTGGGTCTTCTGAGTTCCCATTGTGTCTTTGCCTTTCTCCAGGTGGGGCTCTTGTTCTTTTCTTGGCAATCTGGTAGATTCTAACATACACCGTAATCATAATGACACAGGGTACAAAGAAGGAAGCACAACTGGAGAATATGATGTACCATTTCTCACCATTAATGTCACATTCAAGACTGTCTGTTTTGTCCTTTTTCGCTGTGATAAGCGGAGGAAATGAAATGAAAGCTGCCAGTATCCAAACTAAGCAGACTTTGCCTTTAATCCTGAGTGGTGTCCTTCTCAGGTTATACTCAATGGCTTGTGTGACAGACCAGTATCTGTCCAGGCTTATTGCACACAGATGAACAATGGATGATGTGCAGAAAAGAACATCCAAAGCCAGGTAGATTCCACACCATACCTTCCCAAAGAACCAATAACCCATCAGTTCATTCGCTAAAGAGAATGGCATCACTAAAGTGGCAACCAGGATGTCTGCACATGCTAGAGAGACTAAAAATAAGTTCTGAGGTGCTCTCAGGACGTGGCTTGTCATCACAGCAATTACTACCATGACATTACCAAACAGTGTTAGCAGGATAAGGATACCCACCAGGATTGTTAGAGGCACAGAGGTCTGCACAGTATAAGGGTTCCTCCCAGGCAAAGTCACATTTCCACTGTTGAAGATAAAACAACCCATCAGAGTGAGCTGTGGTGTCGATGGTATGGTCTGAACGGGGATCTGTCAGGAGGCTTGGAAGCTGTGCTCCAGCAGTCTATTAATTGCATCCATTCAAGAACACGGCACAGAGTTGAGGCTTTTCATTTTGTTCACTGGAAGAGTTTCCTTCAAAGATATCTATGCTTCTTTCCTGTTTGTCAATTATAAAATAGAGACCAAAAAAAGCAAGGATTGGGTTTTTTAATATATATATATAAACTAAAAAGACAAACAAGCAGTAAAAGAAATAAAGGGAACCTATTAATTCCCTGTTTTTCACATAACATAGTTTTAAGAGTACTAAAAAAAATCTTTATCCACTAACCTTCAAGAATAAAAGCTTCTGCTAAATCCCCTGGAAGGTTTTGTAAAACAGACTTATATTGCAGCCAGATCTTTTCATCTAGTGCAGCTGAAGGGGAGCACATCTTTTATATAGGCTTATCTGACGCTGGGGATCTGTGATGCTGGAATGGGCGGGGCTCATCTCACACTGGACATTTAACAAGAGATTGGGGGTTGTTCTAAGACCATGAAACCACTGGCTGATCGTGACAATAATAATATTGTTGATTTATAGAAACAATATATGTAGTCTATTAAATTAAATTAGAATGGATTAAAAGTACACATTGGGTTTTTCATTTCTGTTCCATGAACAGATGGTGAGATGTTTTAAAGGAAAAATATCTGGATTGTTAGAGATGATTAAAGCTGCTTATAGAATCTTTTTTTTTTTCTTTTTCAAATATATAATGACGAGATATCAAAATCAGAGTGAATGAGCTGAGGAAAAAAGCTTAAATGCTTGACCTTTTGTAACTTTCTTTTAATAGCACTACATTTTCAAGCACAGTCTAATAAATTATTAAAGCTATGTGTACCAGGATACACTGATGTGATGATTATGTTCAGGTTTTACCCACTACCTGTATGCACTACTTTACTAAGTCACAAGCATGCTCGCCAAGCTGCATTGCTTGTTTCACTTTTAGTTTGCTATGTTTTTCGAAAACAAAAGTGCACACAAACCCAAGGTAATTCATGGCATTGGATTGGATTAAACAGCTTTAATAGTTAAATGTCAAAAAGCAGGTTTGTCAGCTAAATTCTTTATCCTGTGATATGACGTGGTGCAAAAGTCTTGAGCCATCACTCACTTCCTGATGTTTTGCTGAAATAGATGCAGACATTTAATGAAACATGTAGCTATAAATGAAAAAAAAAAAAAAACATTAAAAGAAAATAGATAAATTAAAGAGCATGAAAATCAATATTTGGTATGACCAAATATTCTTCAACACTAAATGAACTTTCTTCAAATTTTCTTCTTTGAGCAGTCTTCAAGATTAGCTCTTCGGGCTTTTAGGAAGACATTTAAAATGTGTTTGAATGTTGAGGGGTGTAGTGGAAGTTTTCCGTTTAAATAAAGCCTGCAGACAAGCGGTGAGCGGTAGCTAACATTCTTTAATCAACACAAAGAATAGAAAACCAAGCTTGGTGGAGAGCCTGCATCATCGCGGGGCAGACGGTCAGCAGCCCAGCATGGCTCTCTCCTTCTTCAGGAACAAAAGGCAGTACACAGCTGTTTCACACCTTAAGGTGCACACTCCCTTGCTACCTCCCACAGTCCTCGAGGGGACAAAAGACTCTTCCCGTGGAGTTGTCTGCTTCCCCCAACTTCCTTACCAGACCTCTGTCTAACTGCACGAGTGTGAGACATGCTAAAATTCAGTGGCACCAAAAATAATGTGATTAATACATAAATAAAATAAATTCTTATACAATCCCACCCTTTGATTCTTAAATCAAACCTTAAGAATCACATTAATAACAGAATTTCTTTCCTGACATTCTGTATATCACATCAACATTATTGTACACTTAAAGGAGTTTCACAATGTGTATCCTCACTTCACTGTTCTCTCACCACCCTTTGGTCATCTTTAATCATCCTCACAATCTAAGCTCTCACAAGCAAATGGAAACAACAATGATACAGAGGAAACCCTCTCCAGCCCTCTCTCAAAGTATGCATAGCAGAGTGAAACAGCATTTTGTTGTCAGTCATTACCCAGTCACGGTCATGGCTCCTGGTGTCTGTGCCATTTACAGAGTCATAATTCCAACCCTGATCTTCCTCTGCGCTGTCACTCTTGGAGCTTGGCACGCTCTCTTCATCCCTCAGTTTCTGTTCCAACGCCACTGTAGATTTAGGAGCAGAGCAAGTCGTACACTCTTGTAGTCTTCCTTAACGTCAATGTAGAAACTCTTTAACTTTATGGGTTAAGGTTAGGGTAAGGGACAATTTCTAGGAAGCCCAGTGGCACAGGGTATCAGCTGTGCTGAAAGTGGTCTATGCTCCTCACTGATCCTCTTGAAGCCTCTCTCCTGGACTCCTGCACCTCAGTCTGTCCCTCCATATCCCTCATGTCACGGTTCCTGCAATTTAAAAATGAAAGCTCCCCCAGAAAACACTCTTTTGCCACATGGCCCTTGCCATGTGTCAACTTAACGCAATAAAACATGCACAATAAAGTTGTGCGTTGTCTCTTAAAAATTCCAGGGCCTCTCCCCTGGAGTAGCTCCACTCCAGGCCTGTAACCCTGTCGTAAGAAAAAACATTAGCCAGTGGTGTGTCCTGCTGTAAATCATGTGATTAGATCACATGATTAACCCTCTGCTGTGGAAAAAGTGATGTAGATGTTAGCGCAGCGCATCTGTATGCACACTTTCTCACAGTGACCTCTGCATTGCAGGCAATACAAGGTCATGAATAACACACAGCTGATAAATTCACAAAGACACAGAAAGTGGCATTTAAAAGGTTAAGTCGGCACGGCCCAGAGCTCATGCAGCCTAGGATGTTGCTGTCACAGTTCTGCTCCTGTGAAAAAGAAGCATACATACATACATCCACCCTTTTGTCACTGTCTGGGTGGAGGTGCAATCTTGCACATTGGTGTCAAGTCAGTCAAGCTTTTGTCAGTCCAGTCAGTTCCCCTTTTTTTCTTTTAATTGCTGATAGCAGAACCTCTCATGTCACATTAAGTTTCTAGTGCCAGCAATATGATGCCATTTCAAAAAAAAGAAAAAGAAGAATTTAGACTGGATTACCTCGCTGAACCTTTTGTGTCCCGAATAAGTGGCTTTTTCCAGAGTCCATTTAATGTGGAGAAGCTCACTTGCAATCTTCGTTTCCCGACGAAGTGTTGTGTAGCACTTTCAATTCCGATCGTGCAGGCCTGCTCTCCTCTTTGCAGTGCTCCAGACACTTTTCAATTCTCCACGCAAGGCAGTCGTTTTTTCTTCCCAGTTTCCTAAACCCAAATTTCAGTTTCCCACACTAAAACAGCCGTCCTCCATGCATCCTCCCGCCCCACTATGGACTCCTCTCCCCACTCCTTGTCAGACCAGTAGCAGTCAGTTCTCTTCCAGCTTTGTCCTGTGTTTTCCACTGTCTCATCTTGCCATTTTGCTCCAAAAGTGGCAAATGTCACACTCAGACAGTCTTCTCAAAGGTCCCTTCACGCACAGTGAAGTTGCAGCTAGTTGGAAACGCATATCTCCATCCATCCATCCATCCATGATGTTCTGGAACTGCACTTCTTGTCTTCAGGGAGAGATTCTTGGAGCTTGTTTCCTCAGGGTGACAAACATGTGGAAGTTAAGCTGTTAAACAATTCAGCCAAAACTTAGCCTGAATGTTTCTAACGGTGTTAACCTATAATTTTCTTCCAACTGCTGCACATGGAAAATTGATCCAGGTCTGCTCTTCATCTGTAAGTGACACACTGAGAGACATTTTGATCATTCTTATCACTGCTTAAAACAACACATCTCCTCTCTCTGGTTTTGAACTCTCCTTTGCGTGTCTGAGGAGGATGTGCGGAAGTGCTTCAGGAAGGTGAACGCACACAAAGCTACTGGTCCAGACGGGATTCCCGGCCGCGTCCTTAAGTCATGCGCGGCTCAGCTGGCTGGAGTGTTTACACACATCTTCAACCTTTCCCTCTCTCTGTCTGTAGTCCCAGCCTGCTTCAAAATGGCCACCATCATCCCTGTACCCAAATCCTCCACCATCTCCTCATTGAACGACTGGCGACCTGTAGCCCTGACCCCCATTGTGAGCAAATGCTTCGAGAAGCTGATCAGAGACTTTGTTTGCTCTGCACTACCTGACTCACTGGACCCTCTACAATTTGCATACCGCCACAACAGGTCCACTGATGATGCCATAGCCCCGACACTACATACTGCCCTCTCACCCTGGAGAAGAGAGACACGTATGTGAGAATGCTGTTTGTAGATTACAGCTCAGCATTCGATACCATCGTTCCCTCGAAGCTGGACAGGAAACTGCAGGATCTAGGACTTAGCAGCTCCCTCTGAAGCTGGATCCTTAACTTCCTGTCTGACAGACGCCAAGTGGTCAGACTGGGCAGCATCACCTCATCCCCCATCACACTGAACACTGGTGCTCCACAGGGGTGTGTACTGAGCCCTCTCCTGTACTCACTCTACACCTACGACTGCACGGCCACTAACAACTCCAACATCATTGTGAAGTTTGCGGACGACACTACAGTGGTGGGTCTTATCACCAACGGTGATGAGACAGCCTACAGGGAGGAGGTCAGCGCCCTGACCCACTGGTGTCAAGACAACCATCTCACCCTCAACGTCACAAAGACAAAGGAGTTGATAGTGGACTTCCAGAGGTGCAGAGAAGTACACACCCCCATCACCATCAACGGCGCTGCTGTGGACAGAGTGAGCAGTTTCCGGTTCCTTGGTGTACATCTGGCTGAGGATCTTACATGGTCAGGACACATAAACAAAACAGTGAAGAAGGCGCAACAGTGCCTCTTCTTTCTCAGGAGACTGAAAAGATTCGGCATGAGCCCCCGCATCCTCAGGACCTTCTATCGCTGTGCCATTGAGAGCATCCTCACTGGATACATCACCACCTGGTATGGCAACAGCACCGCTTACAACCGCAAAGCTCTCCAGAGAGTAGTGCGGTGTTCTGAACGGATAATTAGAGGTGAGCTTCCCTCCCTCCAGGACATCTACAGGAAGCGGTGCCTGAGGAAAGCGGGGAGGATCATCAAGGACACCAGTCACCCCAACCATAAACTCTTCAGACTACTTCCATCAGGAAGGAGGTTCTGCAGCATCCGGTCCCGTACCAGCAGTCTGAGAGACAGCTTTTTCCATCAGGCCATCAGACTGCTGGACACTTCATAGACACCTCACCTTCACTACTGGAACTTCAACATCATGCACTCCATACTGTATATAAATGCCACTTGTTTTGCACATGTCCAACTACCAACCCCTGTATATTTTATATATTTTATTTTATTGTTTACTCTATTTGATTTCTAATATATATAT